AGTGAGGGGGAGGCATTTAGGAAGAGTGGTGCGTTTAGAGTGGGACACAGGAGCGGGGTCAACTCTCAGGACAACTTAATATTTAATCATCCCCCCTCACTGGTTACTCAAAACCCCACAATCCCCTGTGGATGAGCAAGGAGACAAGCGGGAGAGAGGGGGGAGGGCGAGATGACACTTTATCTCTCAAACTGCCTTGTGCTTTGACTGAGTGCAAATTAAGTGAGAGAGAGAGAGAAATGGGGGGGAAGACAAAGAAAAAATGAGATGTGGGACGTTTGCTGTGTGACAAAGATGGCGAGATGACTGTGTGCAGCAGACAGAGACAGACACATGAAAGAAAAATGGAAGGTGGCGAATAACGGCATTAAAGTCTTCTTCATCATACAGATTGGAGCTCAGTGGCCGGGCAAGGTTAAATATAACGATAAGTACATCGTGATGTTGAATGATGGCATGATGGATGTGGGTGGGACAGGGAGCAGAGACATTACAATGTCAGGTCAGAAACAGTTTCATAAAGGTGCTACTGATCCGTGAATCTCTTCAGCTCAGTCATTTTCATCCTATTATCCAAAACCAGGTGCTCCAGGTCTTTTGTTTTGATCAGCTAGGATGAATTTAAAGGAAATGTCAGAAACATGAATGCTCTCTAGGTCCTTTATAGATCAAGCACTAAGGTTTCACATATTAAATCGTTTCTATCCATGTTGCTCATAGCAGAGAAATTTTAACAAATACCACCTCATTGAAGCTCTCCGTAGATTTTTCCACTTAATTGTTCTCATTTCAATGCCCAAAAGAGTTCTTCCTGTAATTTCTGGCACCCATGTGACACCACAAATGGAAAGTAACTTTAATGGCGGGATGTTTAGTTTTAGAATCATTTGCTTGTCTTTGGTATGCTGGATGATTAACTTGAATTTTTAACTAAAATTTAAGGGTCTGATTTTATGTTTTGCCTGTACCCTACCAGAGGGTAGAATCAGGAGATGCTGGAGTGATTATATCTCTCAGCTGTCTTAGGAACACCTCGGTGTCCCCTCAGAAGTCTCTGTGTTTGCTTAGACTGCTTCCCGCGAAATCTGGAGCAGAAGGAAATAGATGGATGGAATATATCGGATTTTTTATTTTTTGTAATTGAATTCATCAGCATTGATTTTACAATATAAAAGCTAAAAAAAATAAAGTCAAACAGTTTTTTGTTTCCATGCAGTATCTCATAATTTCTTTTTTTTTAAGTACATTAAAAGTTGTTTAAATAGTAACATCCTAAATAAAAAGTATGGCAGAGCATTCTTACATCATTTAAAAATATACAAGTGAATCCATAAATCCTAAAGTAAAGAGCATTTGTGTGACAGTGTGGGCCTTGCATTCATTGTCCCAGATGGCCATTCAGACAAACATTATTTAAACAAATCCAGTCTGCATTTTTCGAACAGATTTTTCTGTGTAAAATGTAAAAGCAGCAGTTTTTTTTATTGTAATTTATTTGATAACTGTCGTCTCATCCATGTACAGCGCAGAACAGAATGAACATCGTACTTTATTTAATTTTTTTCAGGCTGTTGGCAGTTTTGGAGATAAAAAAATAATAATTGTTTGTCAGCTCTGGGATCATTATAATTAATTCTATATATATATGTTTGGATCTATTAACAAACCCACCAAATGTCATATACTCATTAAAATTTAAAATATCAAATAATGCATGAAAGTGTGAATCCTCTAGGGATGAGGAGCGGTTTCGCTTTGTTTTTGTTTTGGCCTCGTAATGCCCGGAACAGAAAGGTCATGGGGTCACCAAAAATCATTAGCATTCATCCTCTGGGGGAGCACAAATCACCATACTGAATTTCAGGTCAGTGTGGTCACTAGATGTTGAAATATCTGCTCTGGACCAGCAGTGTTGGATGACACTGCTGTCCGTTACACCACTTTACATAACATCCAAAAATACAGTCATAGGCTGTTATCCAAATAGGTGCTATTTTCATACAATGGTACCTTTCACACCAAAGCTGAATGTTCAGTCTATGAAACCTGTGAACAATGTGCCTCCTCCTGTGTGCTGTCAGTGGGATGTGGATCTATAATGTAAGTATTTTTATTATTTTCTCACCTGCTCCCTACCTGCTTTTTGCCACTTTAACAGCCTTTTTATGTGAAAACCTGATGAAGACATATCCTGAAATTTTGTTGCTGATTATTTTTCATATTAGCTAATTGTCACGCAATCATTACTTGTTGTTAGTTTGTGGTTAGGTCCTCGTTACCTGGCTATACCCTTTCCACACCTTATATGCTGAAAATCTTAGTTGCCAATGTCAGAGAAAGGATGCATGTCCTATCCAAACCTCTGTGTGCTCACTTCACTTTCTGCACCACTGCTTATGCAGTGTAGCCCACTCCGGCACTGCTGCTGCCAACCATGCACTGAGCTCAGCGTGAGTTTCAGTTGGTTTAGAGATACAGGAGGGAATTAGACCAAAACCCTTTGTCATGGTCTCAACAGACTATCAGCACCATGTTATCTTTCTTGTGTTTGTCCATATCTCAGCTTTATGCTAAACAAGACCTCAATTCTTGATTTTTGGCTGATGTAACCAATGCGTCCTCAAGCTTAGCTTTGCCATTACCACCTTGGTGTTTTGAAAGGGAAAAGGGTGGATATGAGTGAGAAACCAAGAGACAGTGTACTGTTTTAATCCAGCAACTTGTCAATAGTTGTTCCATCTTTAAACTTTATCATACTTTTTGGCCTTAGTTGGGCCCATTATTCTCAAAATCAACATTATGTTGTGTTGACTATAACTTGAGACTAACAGTTGAAACTGTGACCTTATCAGGAAATTGTCTGCTAAAGTCATAGATTAAGTTAACCAGTGATTGTTTTTCCCCTTAGATTTCAAACAGACATTTTTTCTGCACTCACAGGAGTCGCCCTCTGCTGGCTATTAGAAATAATGCAGCTTTAAGGCACTTCCTCACTGGCCTTCACTTTTCAGTCTGAGGAGTTATAGCCTATATCAGTTTATTCAGCCAATTAAATTACTAAGAGACTAATCACAGCATGGTTACAATTTGACAAGAACTTCTGTTTTGCCCTTAGTGAATTTCCAAGTTGTTGAGCTTCTATAAGAGCTATTCAAACTGAACTCTGTATTATTGTGGATGATATGAGATATATGTTTTTAAATACATGCCTTTTTACTTTGCTTTTTTAGGCTTTTACTCTGGAGTACCAACAGACTTACTGTATTTCAGTTTTGTCACAAGTGTCATATCAAAACTTTGTGGGTTTTGTCATCTTTGCCTATAAAACTTTAGAAGAATTCATGACTGAATTTATAAATTTGTTCAGGTCTGAATGTCAGAAAACACCCTAGGGCATTATCACAAAGATAGACATAGCTATTATATTATCACCTATTAGTTTTAGACACTCGCATCTCTTTTTCCTTTTAGAGTTAGATATAATTATATTGGGATAAGAGGGTGAAGGGATAACTTATCAGCCAAGAGTAGAAAGATTGCTGCACACATAGAGTGTATGGTTGCAATGCACAGACACAGATACCTGCTAATTAGTGCAAAGTGACATACAAATAATGTACTGGAATTGCCTTCATCAAAACAAAGGTACATCCTTTTTGAATGCCAGAGCTGCAGTTTTTGACACATTGATGCTGCCTTCATTTATCAGCTGTAGAGTTTGCTGCTTGGAGTAAATTGATGAAGATAGTCTTGAGTGAGATCAAGAAATCAAGCAGCCAACTCTTTTCTAATTGTTATTCATTTTTTATTATGACTGCATCCATCGCATACACTTTGCAGAGCCTCAGCAGTCTCCTATCTTGCTGTGGTTACCAGTGAGAGCCCAGTGGAGGGTGAACGCCCTGCCAGCTGTGGCCACCACTGGCATTGCAGCTGTTAGCTGATGCCAACCAGCCCACCTGAGGGCACAAGGTAGCTTTCCCACTGAGCCAGCAATCAGCCAAGAAGTCTCACGGTGCTCAGCGGGAAGGAGAAAAACGGATCCAGGATAGAGATCAAGTGAGGAGGGAAGTGATGAATGGCGGCGGGCAGGCAGGCAGAAGGGCCGCTGGGACCTCCAGCTGGTCCCCATGGAGGTGCAAGCGGCCAAGCTCCACACAGAGCCACCCAGCCCCGTGTCAGCACTTTGGGGAGAAGCTGAGAAAAGTGCTGAGGCGGCAGCAACGTGGGGAGATGAGGTGAAGTGGTGAAAATTTAACCACCCTGATGAAAGTCTAAGTGTGCATGTTAAACAGGCGAGAGGGGGAGGGATGGGGGAAATTGAAGTGTGAGAGGCAAAAGTATGGCAGGAGGTGACTGTTAGAGAGAAACTCTGTGCTTCTCAAACTCTAATTTTACCTGACACCCCAGGGTGCAGTGCAGCTCTTTTATGACCCTGGTTTGACCTCAAAAGTAACATCTTATCCCGTTTCCATTTTTTTTCCTCATGATAATTAGCTGCAAGGACACTGTTTTGTTTCAAAGACAGAGGCTGTATCCCTCTGCACTGCGGCCTGGCTCATATACATGCCAGAGTCTCGTAGCGCTTTTGTGGACCGCCTTTCACATGAAGCAACCGGTTTGCTCTGTGGTGTGTGGAGAAGTGTGCAAAGGAAGAGAGAGGTAGAGTCAAGCAGTGTGATTACATAAGGTTGGGTAACAGGCTCACTGTGGGGATACACACTCACTAGACAGTGTTGATGGAGTCTTTCACAGGCCTGCTGGGGTGTTGATTAGGATGTGCTCACAAACAAGGACCAGATGCTGAAATGGATCTTAATATGCTTTTCTGTCTTTGTTTGTCGCTCCCTCTGATTTATGCTCATCCCTGCCATTTCCCCCACTTTCTTTTTTGCCCTTTTGGCTGTCCTCCCTCTGTGTGTACACCAAATCACATCCCATTCTCCATTGGCCTCCCTCTCCCCAATTTTTTCCCTCTCCCGTCTTCCACTGATTTCCAGGTGCGGTGCGAGCCTCCAGCATCTTCCCCATCCTTAGCGTCATCCTGCTCTTCATGGGAGGCCTGTGTATAGCTGCCAGTGAGTTCTACAAGTCACGCCACAACATCATCCTCAGCGCAGGGATCTTCTTTGTGTCTGCAGGTCAGTCAAACACCCGCAAAATGAAACAAAAGCTTGAGAATTTGTCAAACCATCTGCACTAATTTTGAACTGGCTGCAGACAATCATTCGCACTCACAGTCAAGCAGGCCAATTTAGAATCAGTTAACTTAGCATGCATGCCTTTGATATGTATGTTTAGTTAACTTGGAGAAACCAATGCAAACACAGAAAGGTGGTACATAAGAACCCAGGGGTTTCTTTGAGGCAATAGTGCTAACTAATGCACTGCTCTTTTTCTATGTTATGTTCTGTCATAAAGTATTCACACTGGCATTTACTGGACAACATATATTTAAGTACTGTGTTTGATGTGGCAGTATCAGCCCAGTGTATCAGTCAACCCTCTGTATTTATAACCCCATTTTTGAATTCATCATTCATCTGTTTCATGAAAAACATGGCATCTTTTCACCCCAAAGCAAATAAATAACATCAGAATGCACTGACATGTAGATGAAATGTACATTTAGTTTGGGTACAAGCATATGTGCTCTAATTACAAAGCAGACAAGTACAACGCACGTAAAATTGCTTTTACTGAGCAACAAATTCACTATTTTGATACAATACAAGAAATCAATCAAACATATTGTCTTTGCTTTTGCAAACTGATGGTCACTTTACCTTAAATGCCACATAACAGTTGAAACCAGCAGGTATTATTCATAATCTGTTACGATTATCTGCTTAAAGAAGGGATAAACATTAAACTGTTGGAAGCTGGAGGTTAGACTACATCTACACTGTAAACCAAATGTTCAAAGTAATTAAACACATTAAGAAAATGTCAACTTAATTTTTTTAAAAACAGTCCTACTAACTCAAATAGCTTATGTTCATCTAAAATTTTCTTACATTTGAATTAGTTCATAATTTATTGTTTTGGATCAACTTCAACTATTTTGGCTATTAAGTGCTTGCTACTTTTACTAATTTATTTAAATTATATGGCCGACATCTTTGGAAGGTTTTGATTCCTGGTGTCAGTTTGAACCCCAAATATAAAAGATATTTGTTTTTAGTCTGCTATAGCAGCTGGGTTGATTCAGATTCTGGGAAAAGACAATGAGTGAACAGGGACCGAGAATTAAAGTGTCCTTGTCTTTTATTAGTTGCTCACAGGTTCTTTCACTAACATTATCCACAAAGTTTAACAAATTGTTTTTGTTTGGGGTTTTGTTTTGTTTTGTTTTTTGCTCCTTTTTTTGTCGCTTTTATTTCTTTTTGGAACATTTCATAAACATTTTAAACATTTAAAAAACAATTGGACTTAAAAATTATTCATTTAGTGCAGTGCAGTTATTAGGCCATTATAAAAATCTTCATCAACTGCAAGCTTTAAAAACAATAACCTGACCTTTTTATCTAGGTTTGTTTTGTACTAATAAAGACTCCACTAATGCTGTAATTTCCTGTCAAATATGGAGGTCCGCCCATGTGTCTGCAGTAGTTTGATTTTAAAATGTGAGTGGGTGGGACTGAAGACTCATTGAACCACCAATGTTTGTATCACAGTAAGTATTCTACTTTTCTTTAGATTTCACTTTTTTCCAACCCATTTTAGTGAAATGTCAGCAAAGCAATTCTCAATCAGTGACACCGTTAGCTAACAGTTAATAAGCTAACAGCTAATAAGATGAGTTCACCATGGTAGCTGAGACAGACTGCTACATTTTTACTATAGACAATGTGTTATTCTGAGGTATTTGATTTTTTTTGTCCTTTTTTGATACAATGCTCTCTGTCCTATATAAACATTATGATGAAGTCTTTCAAACTTAAGGGGACGGAATTAATGAAAATTTCAGAACTGGAGAAAAAGTGACATAAGCTGGTAAAAGCAAAGAGAAGTTAACCTTTCGTGATATGACCATGTAGAGCAGGGGTGTCCAACTCCAGGCCTCAAGGGCCGGTGTCCTGCAGGTTTTAGACATGTCCAGCTGATTTAAATGGCTAAATGAGCTCCTCAACATGTCTTGAAGTTCTCCAGAGGCCTGGTAATGAACTAGTTATGTGATTCAGGTGTGTTGACACAGGGTGATATCTAAAACCTGCAGGACACCGGCCCTTGAGGCCTGGACTTGGACACCCCTGATGTAGAGAGATGGCTAAACTTTTTGGGAGGGGATATGTTACTTCAGCCTTTTGAAAGTCAGAATTCTCGTTTCAGTGTCTTTCAACAACATCTAATATTACCAGAATCCAAATGTATAGCTACTTCACTCAATTTGATGAGAGGCATAGGTTCTTGTTCTCACCATAGCAAAGGTCATAACTTGCACTTTTTTTCCGATGTAGGTGTACTCAAAGCACCAACCTTCAAAGGGGTTCAAACAGAGCATGCCCAACACGTTCCACGCCAAACCTAACGGCCATCTTATTCAATCAATTACTTTTTTCAAATAGAAGTATCCTAGTACAGGTAAGACAGCAAAAGTTTTGGCTGAAATGTAAAATGTTAATAATGAAATGAACCTCAAACTGAGACTTTGAATTCTATTCTTGAATTCACTTTGCTTTAATTTTTTGCTTTCCTCTTTCTTTTCTCCAGCCTTACAGCTCAACCTTCAACATCATCTGTCCACTATATCCAGTATTCCTCCTCTGCACACACCCAGACCATCTCAGCTTTTCCTCTTTATTTGTCACTGGGGTTCAGTGGACTCAGAACAGATTACAGTCTAGAACACAGATCATCTGTTTTTACCTACCCACGTGTAGTTTGTTCTCAAAACAACTACAAAATGCAGAGTTGTAGCTAAAATAATACATGGCTTTTGAACATAACTCCGACACAACAAAGGTTCCTGGATGGTGCTTAAAGACTTAAAGTATTATAAAGATTTGCAGAATCTCCTGCGTCACAACAAGTATAAACCACTTTTCTGATGAAGATGATTATGATGATTAACTGGAGAGGTGATCTGTCATACAATAGTCCTGTGAATTAGAGAATTAGTTTGTGATCACATTCTCTGATTCATTCAGGACGAATCAAATGAGCCATATCTGAGATGATGCAGCCGCCCTTGTTATAGTAATCTTTGACAAAAACCCACTTCATTACCAGACTGTGAAAGTCCTTCAGAGTGACTTTGTGGAGGTCTCCCAAGAACTGCTGATGAACTTCTTAGTCATGTTTGGAGTGATCTGTGCACTACACCTACTACTACAACTATTACCAAGGGACTGAACAACACTGTATTCCTTGAGAGTAATCTGTAATCTGGTAAACTGTTCCCCAAAAATGTGCATCACCGTCTCAGAGCACAGTATTGTCTTTGTTGTTTTATTTTATTATTTTTGTTGCAATAACTGAACTTCAAGACATTTCTGATGGTCATTATTTTGAATATGAATGTTAACAAAGCAGGTTGTAAAATAACAGAACCAGGACGGTTGTACATAAGCATTTAAAAATGTAGCATTTCATCAGTTTACAGTGTAATTAGTCACATCTGCTATTTGAAAAAGACATATGTCTTTAGCATTTGATATTTTTGAATATTAACAGTGCAGTGTGTCATCAGTGGAGGCCAAGAAAATACTGTTGAACTGAAGAAATGTGCTTTTAAATTTTGAAGTACACAGTTGGTTTTTGTACAGTTTGTGTGACATGTTTTTGAGTTTTCAGTGTCCAGATCTTTGAGTTTTGTGTAATTAAAAAAGATCACAAAAGTGAACAACAAATGTGATTGTGTTTCACTCATTCCTTTTTAGGTAATGTCAACTTGTTCTCATGGCAGATATGAATGAAAACTTTAAGTTCTAGTTACTAAATATTTTTCAATGTAATTATTAAACATTTTACTTTTATTTTAGTGAAAAGGGTAAATGTGAAATGTACACAATATAGTAGAGTTCTGATAAACTGAAACATTTAAGTTCATCAACAAGTTCTGCTAAATTCTTTGGGTTTACAGTGTACTTCAAAATGAGATCAAGTGAATATGTTCCCATAGAGTGTAAATGAGGGAAGCTGCTTGCTTGGCTCTGTGTAAAGGTAACAAAATCTCAGATGCACCCTAATTTTTACTGCACAGACACAATGTTGGTGTTTTTCCTCTCAGTATTTGCTATAAAGTACTTTTTTAAAACTTAATGTTCTACACCATGAATTCAAAAGGCCATGCTGAAAACTCTCGGGCTGCTGGTCACGTCTGTCACTGCAGCTACAAGTCACTTCTTCTCTTCCCTTCCTTTCATTTCTCTTGGTCCTGTTGCTAGGCTAAAAACCACCCGTTGGGACTCATCTCTAAAAATATGGTGTCCCTGACACACTTTCCCTACAATCCATCTTCCCAGAAATACCATGTCAAACATTTCTGTGTGTCTGACTAAACTAAAAAGGCAAAGTAAGATATATAACTGGAGACGTAAATATATATAAAGAGATCATATATTTGGATATATGTTCAGACACAGAATATATGCTTTATTTCAATCTAGACAAGACATAAATGTCCTTTTTTGCCACAGAAAGGGCAAAGATTAAGACTGTAACATCAGCCGTGTTGGATGAGGAGTTGGACAGGATTAGCAGACTGTGTACAGTGCCTGAATCAGCACTCTAAACATATTTGGTGTGAGCCTGAATGGTAAGTTACCAGGATTAAAGGCTTGAGTTCATCTTGACTGATACTTTGTGTCTTGTTTTCTCTTTGTCTTTTTTCCTCTATCTTTTTCTCCCAATAAATCGACAATTCTTCCCTTATTTTGTGCCCATCTTACATCTCCCAACACGTAAGGCCTGAGCAACATCATCGGGATCATTGTGTACATATCAGCCAACGCAGGAGACCCTTCAAAAAGTGACTCGAAGAAGAACAGCTACTCTTACGGCTGGTCTTTCTACTTCGGTGCCCTCTCCTTCATCATGGCTGAGATGGTGGGCGTCTTGGCCGTGCACATGTTCATCGACCGCCATCGACAGCTGCGAATAGGGGCGCGCGCAGCCGACTACCTCCAAGGCTCGGCCATAACACGGATCCCCAGCTACCGCTACCGCTACAGACGCCGCTCGCGCTCCTCCTCCCGCTCCACAGACCCGTCGCATTCTCGCGACACCTCGCCGGTGGGCCTCAAGGGCTTCAGCGCGCTGCCATCCACGGAGATCTCCATGTACACGCTTCCCCGGGACACCCTCAAATCCTCCGGCACACCAACCGCCACCTACAACTCTGAGAGGGACCACAACTTCCTGCAAGTCCACAACTGCATCCAGAAGGACTTGAAAGACTCGAGCCACACCAACACAGCGAACCGCCGCACCACGCCTGTATGAGAGAGTCGACACAGGCCAGGCCAGCACGGCGGAGACCAGGAGACACGGAAACCCCTGTGGGTGGAGAACGCCCCAGGAGAAGATGGATTTCCATGTTTATAGACATTTGTTCTTTTTGTTCAGCTGCATGACTTTTCCATTACCATTGTTGAGAGAGTTTCAACAAGTCTGCTGTGTTCCTGGATTGAATGGCAGAGGACTGAGAGTGGGACAGGATGTCCCAAGGAAGTGAGCTCTGTCAGGTATTTTTGAGCAGGATTTGTTTGAGGTTCGGGGCGCTGACAGGGAGGGTGGGAGGGGTGGGCATTTATGAGACAAAGAATTGGTTTCATCATTTCATTGCCCTTATGTTTGACAGTATTGCCCCACAAGTTTGGTTGGAGCAACAGGTCAAGCTCCCCCCTCAGCCAGCCTGCCACCTCTTTTATTTACTGACTGATTTGTTCATTTTTTTTGCATTAAAACTGTGAATTGTTACAGCTTGGGATTCAGTAAGAATTACCCCAATCTGTAATCTCTAACAAAGGTACTATATATACATATATATATGTATTACTTTTATAAATCAATTATTACGTTAATAATCAAGAGATACAGACTTTACCGAAGCAAAAAAAGAGAAAAAACACACACACATACACAAAAAAAATCGAGTTAACTAAACCAAGTGCTGTTGGTAATATGAGAAAAGACTCTTTTAGTATCCTTTCATTCGAAGGTCGAGAACAAGAGATGGTCCTTCAGGTAGCAGCAGTACAGCAGCCACCACAGGCAGACGCAGACAGTAGAATAATATCTTTTAATAGAACCTTCTCGTCTTTTTCTCGGTCCCTGTTCACTTTCTTTTTTTATATGGGGGGGGTCGTAACGCGAGAGTCGAAACCCCTTAACAGAAAGAGCCAACAAAAGGGGGTTAAAGGTCACACAAAGCGAAGACTCCAAACACGACTTCTGCTAAATAAGAAAGGAAGGAGCAGAGGGCAAGGAAAAGAAGAGGACGCCAAACACAAAAATAAAAACAAGTTAAATATGAAATAGTACAAGAGAAGCTAAGTGACTCACAATTTCAGAAATTAAATGCATGCTATAAAATTACAGCAAATCTGCTCTGAGAAACTTAAGTTTTAAAGGTTAATAATTATAAAGGGGGGGGGGGAAAGCCAAGGCGCTAAAGTATTAATGTTTTCATGTGTATTTTTCTTATGTTTTTTATTTATTTATTTAGTTCATTACTGCTTTTGTGAGACGAACCAAACAATCTACATGGAACAAAACTGCTTTTTTAAATGGTTTGGTCGATTTCTTTATAAATATATAAATATATGTATGTATGTATGTATTTTATTTTTAAAACTCACACAGCCTTAGTCATTTCTTTGTTTCGTTTGATTTTTAATGTGTTGTTCAAATTGAAGGTGCCAAAACCGAATGATCCTATACTTGGATGCATCAAGTCCTGATGAATAAAATACGAACCCTAGGGGGAACAAATCATCACGTTTCACTGCGTGTCTTTACAACACCTTCTTGTTTGTCGCACTTGTCTGTCTGTCACATTTTGATATCTGAAATGTTGGTCCTTATTAGAGAAGAAAAGAAATACAAACAGAATCAGGCTTGAAAGGAAAGTATTTGTCAAACAGAGCTGTGGTTTTTAGCATTTATAATGTTTTGACTTCATTGTGAATGTGACTTTTTAGCCTTTTAGAAAATAGATAAGTTCAGGAAAACACATGTCTCGAAGTGCTTGATAACATGAGCTAGACCCCATGATATTACAGAGAAAACAATAACAATTCCCAACAAGCAGAGCTTGGCAACTGTGAGGAGTAAGAACTCACTTTTAACAGGAAGCGACCACCTGCAGAAGCAGGAGAAGCAGAGATGTGTGACGTGCCATGTGATTAACAATGGCATGTAAGCTATGCCTTCTGCTTCCCATAATGAATAAAAGGGAAGCAGAGAAGAAATGCTAAGTGCATCATGCGAAGTTTCCTCAGCAGCTCGAGCCTATAGCAGCATAACTAAAGGCTGATTCAGGGTTCTAAGCACAATCTTAAAAGTAGAACTGCTGTTCTAGCTGGTGCACCATGGCAGGAGCCTGGTAACTAAAGGCCCCGCCTCCCACTAGAAACTCTACGAACTACAAGTCTGCAGTCTTTTTGGGGAGAAAGATCTTGGATCTGGATTTACAGGAAGCCAATATTTAAGAAAAGAGACATATAATCACTCTGTGGTTGCTCACTGTGACGTTATGATTCAGAGATTTTTAGGGCAGCATATGATAATTCAGTATTTAGAATAGTTTACCTAATTTATTTGTGTTGTCTGGCTTCGTAGAGAACTACAAGTGCACATTTAATGTATGCAGTGGTTTTTGTTTTCTGTTGTTTGTTTTTTTTTTCAATAATATCAGCTAAAGCTTTAATATATATAACGAGAGAGGAATCAGTCCTTGTGCAGAACCCTGGTGAACTCTGACTTTGACTTACTTTTAAGGACTTTTGAAGAGTCCTGATTTATTGGAAGAAACTGGAATGTATCAGATAAACAGGATTTAAACCAACATTATTTATTACTGTGGTGGACTGAAGTCACTGTAGTAAAATGTCAAATAAGGGAGGACAAGCGCTGAGGTGAGTAACATCCACATAATTATTGTCTCATATTTTTTTTATTTTCAGGTTTACTTATTTAAGAGTTTGGCAAATCCAGTATTTCACAAGGAAAGAGGAAAACTACAATAGATGCAGATGCTATAATTACAAAACAAGATTAGGTGAAATGTGAAAAATATTGTGAAATTATGGGGAATAATGTAGGCTACTCCTTTTCAACACGCAAGGCTGTAAAAGGAAGGCCTTTGTAATAAAGGGTTGAAATCCGTTTTTTATACCAATCAGCATTTACAAGATCTCACATCTGCCTATAGCCAAAGACACAAACAGGTCCAGGATCAGAAATCCTGTCAAACTTGTGGTCTGAAGCTTGAGCTGTCAGAGAGAGATTATATTTTTCTGCATTTTGGAAGGTACACTGAACAAACTATAAACTGTTTCTGTTTACTGTTAGCCATCAGATACACTGATGATGAAATTCAGAAAAAATGATTAAGTCCACTTTAAGCACACACTGCTTACAACAAAAGTCACTCGGATTAAATAGGTAACTGGGTAATTTCTGGAGTGATTAATATGCTTAGGATGGCAACAGGATATTTAACACTTCTCAATCATGACTCCTTTCTACCATACGCTAATCTCAGGTTTCTTCAGCTGATCGGGTCTTCAGCAACGTTATGTGGCGAAAAAATTAGGTCACCTGACCACCTAGCTATACTGAATGACCAGGCTTTTCCATCAATCGATTTGTTTTCTTCCCTGATGGCACAGGCATATTCTAAGATGCCAGGATTCATCAGGCTCAAATTGGGACCGTGTGGTTCAGGGAGCATGGGGCATCATTTTTCACACAAGGATCGGCCACCACAGAGTGTAGACCTTAAGTCCAATGAGAATATTGAAAATCTAGCATCAATACAAGATTTTGGTAAATAAATAAATAATGCAACATTGGACAGAAATAAATGTTTTAACTCAGTATACAGACATTTTTTCCATCTTTTCTTTACAGAACCATTTTGGTGTTAACCTTATATAGTATATGGAATAAAGAAATGCCAGGAGTTTGATAGAGGGCTATTTTTCAGACACTGAATATCTATACAAAATATTTGCTATTTGGCACCTTCCTTCTAAAAAATATTGGCATCAGCCTTCATACACCCATAAAAATAAAGGCTGAGCTGTCAGACATAAAACCATGTGTGCTCTGCTAAAATCAGGGCCTCAGCCTGCTGTTGTAAAATTGTGATAACACGCTGTAATCGACCACTGGGAGCTGCAATCCAAAAAATATCACCATCGGCCATCAAATGTCTGACTTTACCACGTTTAAAGCATGGCAATATCTCTGTTTAACAAAAAGCAGCTCAACCCATAAATTTACAAAACAGGCTGTCTGGGAGTTTTATCTCTTGTGCTTTACAAACACAGCTCTTTTACACAGTAGTGAGCACATTTGTTCCTTTCTTTCTAAAAAGCCTCAGAGAAGCCTGCATGTTCGACACAAACAGCAGCGGCATCTTTCTGCATCGAGGCATCCCCAAGAAAGAAACACGGGTTTGCAATAACACAGTTCTACCAGAGGTTTGCCTGCAAAAAGAACATCCAAAACCTTTCTACACCACCAGCCTAAAAGCATTGCTTTCAGAGCCTAAAACACTGCTGCAAGTGTGTATAAGCGTGTGAAGTGCTAACTGTACGCTGTTGAAGCAGGTGTACAAAGCAAATCTATTTGTGAGACAAAAGGCAGATTGTTCTTCAGCATGTGTTTCTTGTGCAGAGACAAGTCAAACCACTGAAATAAATATAAATCAAAGGATTTGCAGACTTCTCTGTGAAATTATGCTCTTAGATATCCTCTAAGCTCTGGACACTTTCAGATTCATCAAATAAGAGGGCAGAGAAAAGTTTCTCTTTAAAAATGTGCTGAGATCCTAATAAGCCATTATCTGAGTTCATGGACACGAGCTGCTCCCCATAAATTTGAGGGGAAAATGTGTCAACGTAGCAGTCTAAATGAATAGGGCTTCTTTATGTATAGCCTCCTTTATTCAGAATTCATAAGCAGAAGCCATTTTACAAGCCTGGATTACATTAAAGAGAAAGTGTGTGTGTGTGTGTGTGTGTGTGTGTGTGTGTGTGTGTGT